ATTTGAAATGTTTTTTTAGGATTTTACAATGCGTGGGGAGAAACTGGAGGGAGGGTGAAATCTGTTTTATAATAGAAAGTAAGCCTTCACATTAACTATGGATAGGGCTCCATGACTTCTGCAGCGGCCAGTCTGGCTGACCCCAGCTGACATCTGCAGCTGGTCCTGGGGGCGGGGGGAGCAACGGCTGGCCCTTGGGCTCCTCCATGGCAGTGGCCAGAGCAGCCGATGGCCCCATGGGGCTTCCCCCATGGGGTTTCCCCCACAGCGGCAACTGGAGCAGCCACCGCCCCCCCGGGGCTTCCCCACAGCAACTGGTGTTGCAGGCCCCCCAGGACTCCTCTCCCCACACCCCTCCCCGCAGCTGCTGCCAAGGGCCCCATCGGGGCTCCCTCCCCGGCCGCTGGTGCTGTGGGCTCTCCCCTCCCTCCAGTAGAGGCATGCCCCCACCCCCAAGATTCAATCAGGGGTATTTATGGTATAAGTCATGGACAGATCACGGGCACTGATTTTTTGTTTCTTGCCCATGACCTGTCCAAGACTTTTACTAAAAATAGCCGTGATTAAATCATAGCTTTAACCGAATAAACTGCTGCTTCCCCATAATTAATCATCTGCTTCTCAGTAGCAACAGTCTTGATTAATGTAGCCTAATGCAGACTTACTAATTGTTCTTTGTTGGTAGTTTTTTCAGCTGTAGTGCACACACAGCATCATCTTCTGTAAATCTGGTTTCTTTAGTTTTGGATCTACTCTTGTTTGTTGAATGGATAGGAGTTGGGAGATTATATGAATCCCTATGTCTTCCTTCTTCCCTCATTCACGGCTCTCCATGCAGATGGTGCTGAGGCCTCTCCCCATCCACCCACCTCTGCAGAAAGGGGATGATCAGACTTGGGATTTGGTTTGGATATTTTCAGGATCGTTAAATGTAGTTTTGACTCAGTGTTCTAGATAAAAATTAGCAAAGGGTCTTGGGCCTGTATCCAGTACTTCAGCTTCTGATATCCTGTAGATGTATTTATCAGAGATTGCACTATTATATCAGAGGGGTAGCCGTGTTAGTCTGAATCTGTAAAAAGCAACAGAGGGTCCTGTGGCACCTTTGAGACTAACAGAAGTACTGGGAGCATAAGCTTTCGTGGGTAAGAACCTCACTTCTTCAGATGCAAGTAATGGAAATCTCCAGAGGCAGGTATATATCAGTGTGATATATACCTGCCTCTGGAGATTTCCATTACTTGCATCTGAAGAAGTGAGGTTCTTACCCACGAAAGCTTATGCTCCCAGTACTTCTGTTAGTCTCAAAGGTGCCACAGGACCCTCTGTTGCTTTGCACTATTATAGGAATCCTTTTCTTATATAAAGGACTTCTGCACAAAGCAGCATTGTATATTTCAGGATTATTGTTTGTCATCAATAAGCATTCTTTTCATGTACTATGCAAAGAGGAGTACTTTAAAGAAAGCAACACCAACTTTCACACTGCTGAGCTAGGAAATGGGTTTAAGAGGCTTTGTAAAACTTCAGAATCCATGATGCTTTGAGGTTATTCAATTTTAATCATAGCAAGAAACAGTCAGTTAAATCTGGCTGTAAACAAATTTTTGTACTCAGTTGTTAATTATTGTATTTGTACCCATAGTTTCACTTTGAATCTAGAAAGCTGTTAATCTGTATCTCTATATAGCCCATACTAGTAGTGGTTAATCCAGTACTTTGTGCTTGTTTTTACAAAGCACTGTCAATCTAATTGCCTCCTTCTGTTTTACTTCTCTGTTAAGAAATAAAATCACCTAAGTGCAGTGAGATCTTGTAACTTGCTGCTAATTACTGTGGCTATGACTTCCAGCCTGAACTCAACTGTCTCTTGGGTGTAGTTGAAACTAAGCACCAGCTGCCGTGTTTGATGCCATTGCAAAGACTAAATGTTAAAATAAAGCAGGATTTTTTTAAAAAATTCATTGATTTTAAAATTAGATGGAATTTAGGGCAGGGCTGGATTAAAGCACACCAGGGCCCTACACACACCATGATGAGAGGCTCCTTATAGCCTTGTCCTGCCCCTGTGCCATGGCCCCCATTCTCTTCCAGAGAAGCAGGGTCAGTGGATTGGAGCCAGGGTTGTATCTGCATGGGTCAGGCCTCCTGTACTCTCCTCCTGCCACATACACACTTTTGGGATGGAGTGTCAGAGTTCCCAAGAACAGTGGGTTGTAGAGTTATCACACCATAGAGATTCATAGGGAAGTGCATACCTTTCAGAGCTATTGTTTCAGGCTGTCTGTGGACTCAGGCTCACATTCTCATGCTCGATACACATTTTCAATCTTTTCTTTGCAGGCATGAGGGCTAGAAAATTAGGGTGGGATTTTTTTTAAATGAAAGCTGAGATTCTGACTTCATCATATGACTTCAGGAGCGGGGTCCTTGGTTTCAGGACTAAAGTGCCTGTGCTTTAATATATTCTTAGTTTAGGTGGCTCACTAAACACCTACCTACTAAAATTCTAAATTAATTCTAAGAGTAAAAGGCAAGTTAACTCTGAGTCAGGATATATGCAGTGGTTACTAATTAAATTCTTTATAATGTGAGGATTTTCTCCTACTGTCTTCACATATTTAGTGCTCAAGCCTGCAATGTTCCGTCATCTGAGTAGTCCGTATTTGCACAATTGACTTCAGTGGGACTAATTGTATGAAGACTTATAAAGATTTAGTCCCTAGGATTCAGTATTTTAGTCTTTCAGGGTAGTGTATACTTCTGGTATGATCCTAAAAATCACCATGAGTATTTTTTGTCCGTGTTGTAAAGTAGATTTATACACCAGTGATATAGTAAAGTTACTTGACTGTTCAGAGCTTGTATCCGTAAGTTTTGAATAAATTACATTCTGGAGACATTTTATTGTTTCAGAAGATTTATAATGCTGTGTTTTATGGCAGTTTCTTCTGCCTGCTCTGAAACACGTGCCACAGTGTTTTTAAGTGTGCAGTGCATGTTTGACAAACTAGAATTGTAGCAATTCCCATCAGTGCTTGAGCCACAATGTCTCAAGATTTGTTTTTGTTGGCTGGTATCCAGTACCATGCTATAAAATACATTTACTTGACAGAAGAAAGTGGTGAACTGCATTAACTACAAAGTTTTTAAAGGCTGGCTAAACACATGCAATAAATATTAATAAACGAAAAGGCCACTTACCTTTAACCTTGAATTCTGCTATTAGCTGTGTGTGTTTTAGAATTACTGTCGCATTTGAGTAATAACTGATATTGCAACAAATAAGAATTGTGTTTTTCTTTAAATAAACAGCTTATTAACAGGCCTACATTGACTGCATCGGTAACTTGTTATAGCAAGTCACGGATTATGGCGATGCTGAACTTCAAGAAATTTAACTTTACATCCTTACTAGTTGCTACCTTTAAAATGAGCTTTAACCTTTAATATGGTTGTATATTTAACCTTGCATACCTCTGGAAGCCGGGAGAGGTGTCATTTTTTTAAACTATTGTGTCTGTGTGATGTGTGGGATGAGATTTATATTAGGGATGTTTCAGGCTCTATTAACTGCCACTCCATTCAGGCTCGGCACTGTGAAACCTGTTTCTCAATAAATAATTGAGAAAAGCCTGTATTTATCTTATAGCCAAAAGAAGGTCCAACTGATTAGAGCTTAATAGATTTATGGTTTTTCAGGATCAGGCATTCCACTAGCATATTAGCACGTGGCTCATATTTAACATCCAAACGAAATTATATTAGGGCTAGGCCAGGTATGGGAAGGAAAATTGGGATTGGGACAGGGAAGTATTGGGGGTGGTGGAAGGCTTATATTGGCAATGGGGGAATATATAGCCATTCACTTAAAGGTCACAGAAGTAATATAGTAACTCCCTAAAATGTCTCCAGTCTCCCAAGTTACAGTATTCTATTTCATTTACACTCCCTATTATAATTTAAATTGTTAGACTTCTCTTGTTAAAACTAAAGTGAACACCTGTTCTGTGGCTTGTATAAGCTATTTTATGCAAAAGCACTCTTTCTCACGGCCCCATCTCAATAGATATATAAATATAATTTAATAAACAAATGATTAGTCCAGGTTGAAAGGTTCTCTTGGGCAAGGCGGAACAGTAGGCTTGGGAAGGAGGTTATGAAAGATGATTGAGCACATTTCAATGAAATAATAACATGAGCATGAATCCTTTTAGCTCTAGATACATTTATTAGCTAGTTAATACAAGTCCTGTCAACACTATAACCCTCAGTCTTAGAGTTTATTTATCCCTTTATAAGGTAGTTATCTTTCAAACAACAAGCACTCTCCAATTATCTAAATACATAAAGTCTGTTGTTTAGGTGAACATTAAGATTTGTTGTCCCTCATAGTAAATAGTGGTCTTTGCTTTATTTACCTCCTCAGTCAACCATCTTGACCTTTCAAAGAGATTTTTCATCTTGGTTTTGTAATTCAAACTGAAATCTAGTTTTCATAGTTTCATAGATTATAAAGCCAAAAGGAACTGTTGTGATTATTTATTCTGATCTCCTGTATAACACAGGCCATAGGACTTCCCTGAATTAATTTCTGTTAGAACTAGAGCATACCTGGTGGTATGTCATGTAGATGAATATGTTGTATGTGTAAAACAACAAGCTACTAAGGCGCTGACAGTCTAAAATCAGTTTGTGTACTGATCAAAATAGGGGTGGAGGTATCATCCCAGAAGTATAGGCTGAGGCATTCGCTACAGGCAGAGACTGAAATTGGATTAGTTCTTTAGGACATCCTGGGAACGAAGAAATCAGAATGAAAACTGATTGTTTTTAAGTTGTTGCAGAGTCAATGAGTGAGAGAGCAGCATTGCGTGTGAAAGTTTTAGTTCTATATGGAAGAAAGACTATATGAAGTAAGACTCAGGACAAGGGCTTAATTAATTACTTTAAAAAACCCTCGCAAAGTTGTATGCTATATCTAATTTCAAGAGCTAAATGGTTTGAGACACAAAAACACTGATCCAATATCAATATGTAATTTTATTTCAGAGTGTTGTGCGTTGTCTTTGGCATCCCAAGCTAAACCAGATCATGGTTGGTACAGGAAATGGATTGGCTAAAGTATACTATGATCCAGTCAAAAGCCAGAGGTATTTAATAATTACATTATTATCATTAAAACCATTTTTTTCTCAACCTGAGACTGACCATATTAAAAGGTGAGGAAATTAGTTTATGATCATTTGTGAGGCAGTGAGTCAAAAATAGTAGCTTATGATTTTCAGAAGCAGTGCATTTTCCATTGAGCCTCTGATTCCATTCTATACTTGGATATTAAAATTTGGAACTTTATCTGAGGTTTTGAATACTTTCCATGAGGTTCCATCAGTGTACTATGTGGAAACTGCATTAGGAATGCCCAGCTAGCATATCCCTCACAGTCCCCAAAGACTGTTGAAGTGGTGTTTGTAAAAAGACTGTTTAATGTAGTCATACTTGTTTTTCTGAAGTAGCATTTTGTTTAGGAGTCCAACTCTTAGTTTGAATTTCAGTGGTCTGTGCAGTTATGTTGAAAACCCAAACTTGAGAAGAGGTGAGGAATGGAATGAGAGAATTTCCCATCTGTTTCACTTTCTTTGCTGCCCATGGCCGGTGACTGCATACTTAAAGGATGGAAAGACAGAAGCAATTAATGAAAAGGGAAGCTAGCAGTTGAGTGGCAGGATGAATTTAAAGACGCTGCCTTGTTTGGAATTTAACGTCATCATCTCATAGTTTTTTCTGCCAGTCCAGCACACTTTCCTGCTGGCAAATGGAGAGAGCGCAACTGATTTTCTGATTATCCTTTCCCTCCTGTACGTATAAAGATTTGTTCATCTGCATGCTCAGATGCTTCTCTCTCTAGCAGCCAAAGGAGTATTATACTCTAAATTTCAAATTTAGTTCATATCGGATGCTTGACTGTGGGGACAAGCTCAGGTTCCCAAGATTTCTGGGACCCAGGTTTAATTTTTTCTTTCTGTGTATATTTTTGAGGGTTTTGTAGTGATTTTACATCAGAGCCTGGGTTCCTGCTCCTACATAAAAAAAATCTTGTGCTTTCTCATCTCTACATGCATGGGAGACATCCTGTAATGGAGGAACCTTGCCTCTAAATTCAAAAGATGCTCACAGTGCAGAGCTGTCTTAATGTAACTAGGTAGTCATGTAAAATGCAGAAGGATTCCAACCCTGAAGTCTGAATGGAAGAGGTGCACTCTTGTCTGTGATAGTTTCCTGGTTTCATTTTTTCCTTTTCCTTCACAGATATATAGCTATATAAAGAGAGAGAGTGCACCAATTTGTCAGTTACATTTAAGTTACTTCCAACAAGACCTATGCAAGCTTTGCCCCATAGTTCTGTCAGGGCATCTCCATTTAGACCGCCAATACTCTGCTGCTTAATGAGGATAATTGGGCTAAATAGTTGCAAACTGTGTGGTGTTTTTTGGGCTGTGGACAAGCAAAGTATAAGATGAAACTATCACATTCATTTCCACCTCTGACTTTAAGCCACATTATAGCAATTTAATCAACCTCTCGAGCCTCCCTTACATGCATACACACAAATGTAGTCATACATTTGTAAAAGTACTATTCAACCTGGCAGGAATTTTATCTTGAACAAACACTTTCTACTTCTATTATAATGAAATAAATTAAGCCACTTTATTTTTTATCCTAGGGGAGCAAAATTATGTGTGGTTAAAACAAAACGAAAAGCCAGACAGGCAGAGACTCTTACACAGGATTACATTATAACACGTAAGTAATTTAAACATATATTTATAAGGTGACCCGTATTCATTTCTCAGGCTTTTGCCTTTATATTTCCCCATCTCAAAAAATCAAACTATCACCATATTGCGCATTGTTTTTACACTTCGTAGGAGACTAGGTATAGCCCAGAAGCAGTCCATCATACTACACATCAAATGAAAATGTTCTTGCATATACCTTGTATAGTTGTTAATATCATTATTTACAAGGTGCAAATACAGACTTGATCAGATGAAATTCTGGATGGGCTAAAGTTTTCCTTCAGAAAGCCAGGCTGGCCTTTTAAAGTTTATATATATTTCATACAAAAAACTCCATGAAAAATACTTTGAGATTGCAAAGATAAAAACTTAGAATTCAGGGAAAGACAGGATTAAGGTGGTCTGTGCAGGTTGATGCAGATCTCTGACACTTGGGAGCATACACAGTACCAATAGAATGTTCACAGACTTAAAGGACAAGTCTTGAAGACATTCTACTAAAAATGTGGAAGTGGTGATTTTCCAGGTCTTAGAACTCAGCCAAAGATATGTGGAATTTTTATCTGAACAGATGAAACACCACTCAGAACTACCCTCCTGCAGAATATCAAGATTCTACTAAAAACTGTGAAGATGCTAGGGCTGTTCAAAGAAATGGTCAAAAAAATTGTTAACATTGGCAAAATTACCTATTTTTCCGGAACCTCACTCTTGGAAGGAGCTAACCCATATTTACTGAAACTTTCCAAATTTCAGGAAGGAAAATTTCCCCCCTCAACAGTTAGTTTGGCAAAGTTATAAGCGCATGAAAAGAGGGGCTTTATAATGGGTAATTTTAGGCAACCTTAACTGTAACATTGAACAGCCTATAATAGAAATAGTGTCTATACTTTCATTCATCAATGTTTGCATTCGAAAGTGCTTCAATTATGCAAATTTTCAAAAATTGGAGCCTAAAAATCCAGCGGGACCACAGCCTCTGAATCACTTAGGAGCTTTTAAAAATCCCACCATTGGGTGCCTAAGTTTGGATTTCTCTAGTTTTTGAAAATATTAACTTTATCATGAGGATTTGTCTGGTTCTTTCTTGCACATAAATGTGGAAACCTAGTAAGAATAGAGGCTACTGTGCTGCTGAAGATACTGTCTTTTTGTTGAGAGGTTAAGAACAACACACTGACAATTTGTGGCCATTAAAAATACCAGGGCAACTTTCTCAAGAGGTGTTAAATTCTGGTGTCCTGGCCAAATACTGACCGCAGTAATAAGGTCCTGCCAACCCACATTTACCTCGTTTCTTGGGGAAAATTGATTTTGGCAACATATGCAGAAGTGCATCACAACTTGGATCAGGGAGGTGATAATCCCCCGTCTGTCACTTTGCTGTAAGACTGTGCCTGGAATTTTGATGTCTCAGCACCCAATATTAGAAAGATGTAGAAAAATTGGAAGTTCAGAAAAGAACAAGTGGTTGATCAAGCAACTGGTGGGCTGACCCAAAAGAGGAATGAGCTAAATAAGTGTAAATTGCCCAGGCGATTTATTAGACTAGGGAATAATCCTTGGAGAAGTTGTGGAAATCTGGTTGCTTTAGACTTTTAAAAACAGACATGACAAAGCCCTATAAAATCTATTGTGATAAGCCAATGTGGAGGTATGTAAGAATGACATCCCTGGCGTTGCACAAGGGATGGCATCCTCTCCATGTAAGGGTCAAAAGCAATCTGGCCCATAGGGTTAGAGATGTAAAAGTAAATGTGGTTGCTAACATTTAGAATTGTTTTCCTAAACTGTGAATCTTCTCTTTAGCTCATGCCCTTCCAATGTTTCGTGAACCACGGCAACGAAGTACCAGGAAACAGTTGGAAAAGGATAGGCTGGATCCCCTGAAATCTCACAAACCAGAACCTCCAGTAGCAGGACCAGGTAACCCATATTTAGTCTTTTTAGATTGTTATAAGTAAATGGGAAACTTATTTCAGAGTTCTATAAGTAGTTTTGCTCATGAAATTATATTTACATTATAAGTTGTTTGGGACTGGGAATTCTGTCTTTATTATGTGTGTGTACAATGGCTGGGGTGCTACTTCCATACAAATAAATAATAACAACGACTAACTTTTTGTTTAGGCCCATAAAGTATTCAGTAGAACACTGTTGTGAATGCAACTCTAAATGCTATTTTATTTTCTTCCCCACATCTCGTTCTTTATAGTAATATGTAAGTTCAGTGTTACACACACAGTACTTCACATTTTGCCTATGTGTTCATTACTCTCACTCTCAAATATTCTTTTTTTTTTTTTTAATTATAGGTCGTGGGGGCCGTGTTGGAACTCATGGAGGTACATTGTCATCATACATAGTCAAGAATATTGCACTGGATAAGACTGATGATAGCAACCCCCGAGAGGCCATTTTACGACATGCAAAGGAAGCTGAGGATAACCCCTACTGGGTTGCTCCAGCCTATTCTAAGTAAGGAAACAATTTTAAAAAATACAAGCAATATTTCTTAAAGCCATTGGGAGTTTGATATAAACAGAAAATATACATTTTTAACAGCATTCTCTGCCTTTTCTGGATTATTGCCAATAATATATAAACTAAGAGTATGTTAGAGCTCTGATATGAAGACAGTGTGTATAACACATCAAATTGTTAAAAGTATAAATTTTTACAATTTCCATTTTTAAAAACTAACCTTTTAGTGCTAGAATACTATTTTAAAGCTTTCTAAACTTACTGTTTCTCATGGTCCTAATTCTGTTACAGTTAAACTTCACGGTACTAAGTAATCCTGGCTTTATAGGTGGAGAATTACAATAGTACCAATACATATTTTTAAAATCTCTAACACTTTCTAAAGTAGATGTTCCTCTAAAATGTGTGTCATAAATAGCATGCTGTGATGTGCATGTATTAATATTTTCAAGATTTTTGAAGATTCACATTACACAATCATGTAGGTATGTATACGTGCTAAAAGCCAGACCCATGTTACAAGACCCATGCATCTACTTAAGTTAGCTTGGCTTTATAGGTGGAAGGATACTAAAAATAGTTTTTTTTTCCTAAAATAAGTGCTCCAAAATGGGGCATAAACAAAAACATGAGTGCTTGTAGTGGTATAATGATTTAACTGGCAGGAGTCTGGGTTGAATATACTTTTTGCCATTTCTACAGAATATACTGTAGAATATACTTTTTGCCATTTACGAGTTACGTTGCCATGTCTAATTCTTGCCCATAAACTTTTATACCAGCAATATTCAATGCATAATATGTGTGTGTCTGGTGCATATACATTACATATAAGGGCATTTAAACTATGGAATAAACTCCCTCAACTCTTTGCTTACTTGTAAGATTCTAAAACAATATCCCACATTTTCTGTTTATAATTTTTGTTTATAAAAAATTGCCACTGCAAATTTTTTTTTCAAATTATTAATTATTATTATTTAACTCTTAACTAGCACTTTTCATCTGTAGATGTACAAAAGAAGGTAAGTATCAATAATCCAATTTTACAACTGGAGAAAATGAGGTATAGAAAGATTAAATGACTTGCTCAAGATTACATAGCATGCAGAGCCAAGGGCAGAAGCCATGTTTCTTGACTCCCAGTCCAATGCTTTTAGACAATGCTGCCACTATGTAAGTTTTACTTCTGTAATGAGAAGATGATTAAGAAAAGCCGAGTTTGAAAGTTACCTATAGTGTGTTAAAAGGGATGGGTATTTGTGATGTGGACACTGATCCTCTGAGCTGAGTACAACTTCACACAGACCATTGAACAGCTATCATCAGGCAACAGTTCTTGGTCTCCATTGACCTAAGCTGGCTTTGAACTGGGAAATATTAACTTTTATAACATCTATGCCAGTGTTACAAAATATATAAAATAAATGAATAATGCAATACTGCCTACATTTACCAGCGCAAAAGAAGTACTCTTTAAAAGGATAATTCTGTGACGGTTACTGTAATGGAGATGCCAAGTACGGTGGTTGTTTTTTTCTTATTTGGAGATTCACATGTGCTTGAGATGAAATTTATTCCAAGTCTAAATTCAGATATTTTTACTTAAAATATATAAATATCCCTTCATAAAGAAGTAGATAGGACCACTCATACCATCATATATGTAAGTACCCCCATGTATAATTGGCTAAGTAATTTCATTGATGAGACATTAGGTTTCATCCCTGACACCTGTAATGTAATAGACATGAAAGTTTTAAAATGTAGTAGTATTATAGAAGGCTCACTGTGTCAGGTGGGCAGATCTTGTTACGATTTATTGTTTAAAAATGTAGCTGCAGGGGAAGAAAAGAGCTGGCAGAGAAGTGGGGAGGATGTAAGTCCAGAATGCTATTAGATTACACACCAGACAGTGATGTGGGGGGCGAGGGGAGAGCTTGGACAATAGCCAGCAGCATGCTGGCTTGACAGCTTGGTCAACGATAAATTTCATGCCAAAGAAACTGCCATTATCCCTGCTTAAGAAACTTAATTTTTAAGACAGGTTTCAGAGTGGTAGCCGTGTTAGTCTGTATCAGCAAAAACAATGAGGAGTCCCTGTGGCACCTAACAAATTTATTTGGGCATAAGCTTTCATGGGCTAAAACCCACTTCATCAAATGCATGGAGTGGAAAATACAGTAGAGAGGTATAAATACACAGCATATGAAAAGATGGGAGTTGCCTTACCAAGTAGGGGGTCAGTGCTAACGAGCCAAGAGGGAATGAACAGAACAGGTAATCATCAAGTGATCCATCCCCTGTTGCCCATTCCCAGCTTCTGGCAAACAGAGACTAGGGACAACATCCCTGCTCATCCTGGCTAATAGCCATTGATGGACCTATCCTCCATGAACTTATCTAGTTCTTTTTTGAACCCTGTTATAGTCTTGGCCTTTACAACATCCTCTTGCAAAGAGTTTCACAGGCTGACTGTGCATTGTGTGAAGAAATACTTCCTTTTGTTTGTTTTAAATCTGCTGCCTATTAATTTCATTTGGTGAGCCCTAGTTCTTGTGTTATGAGGAGGAGTAAATAACACTTCCTTATTTACTTTCTCCACACCAGTCATGATTTTATAGGCCTCTATCATATTCCCCCTTACTTGTCTCTTTTCCAAGCTGAAAAGTCCCAGTCTTATTAATCTCTCCTCAGATAGCAGCCGTTCCATACCCCTAATAATTTTTGTTGCCCTTTTCTGAACCTTTTCCAATTCCAATATATCTGTTTTGAGATGGGGTGACCACATCTGCACGCAGTATTCAAGATGTGGGCGTACCATGGATTTATAATGAGGCAATGCGATATTTTCTGTCTTATTATCTATCCCTTTCTTAATGATTCCCAACATTCTGTTTACTTTTTTGACTGCTGCTGCACATTGAGTGGATGTTTTCAGAGAACTATCCAAAATGACTCTTGGTAACAGCTAATTTAGAACCCCTCAACGTGCATTACTTTGCATTTATCAACACTGAATTTTATCTGCCATTTTGTTGCCCAGTTTCCTCTTGTAGCTCTTCGCAGTCTGCCTGGGGCTTAACTATCTTGAGTAGTATTGTATCATCTGCAAATTTTGCCACCTCACTGCTTACTCCTTTTTCCAGATCATTTATGAATATGTTGAATAGGATTGGTTGCAGTACAGACTATTTACCTCTCTCCATTCTGAAAACTGACCATTTATTCGTATCCTTTGTTTCCTATCTTTTAACCAGTTACCAATCTATGAGAGGACCTTCCCTTTTATCCCATGACAGTTTACTTTGCTTAAGAGCCTTTGGTGAGGGACCTTGTCAAAGGCTTTCTGAAAATCTAAGTACACTATATCCACTGGATCCCCCTTGTCCACATGCTTGTTGACCCCCCCCCCCCAAAGAATTCTAGTAGATGGGTGAGGCATGATTTCCCTTTACAAAGACCATGTTGACTGTTCCCCAATAAATTATGTTCATCTATGTGTCTGACGATTTTGTTCTTTACTATAGTTTCAACCAGTTTGCCCGGTACTGAAGTCAGGCTTACTGGCCTATAATTGCGGGATCACCTCTGGGGCCCTTTTAAAAAATTGGCATCACATTAGCTATCCTCCAGTCATTCGGTAATTTACCAATTTAATCCATTTAACAATTTAATCCATTTATCAATCTGTTATTTGACCAGGCTTTTTTATATATATATTTCCCCATGGGTGATTATTCACTTAATGAGAAAAATAGAAAATTCTTTACATAAGCTAAAAATCCCTCACTACATATTTAATCTTTTGCCCCATTCCTGGTTTTTAAAATAATTTTAAACAGAGGAGACTACTAGGTCCAAGTTTTTTTGCTGATCCCTTCCTTTAATTTTCGTAATTCTGTAATTGTGATGACTGGGTTTGAGTTCATCTGGTCCTGATTCATAGTGGTAGGGTTAACAAGTATGTCAGATTATCAAGTCATGGCTATAATTGACACTGCACTTTGAGGTTTTCCTTTATAATAAACAGTGGGCACAGAGCCAAGCAAGTTGTGGTTTACCCTCACATTCTTAGTCACAAATAATATAAGTGATGTCTCCTCACAGTCATACCATTTGCCTGAAGCCAGCTTTATTCTTTAGTGAATGAATCCTATCCGATAAGTAACAATAATTTAAAAGAATTTGATCTATGAACTTCAAATTGCAGTGAAAACATTTGGGATGATACACTCTGGTTTTAAGTACTAGAGGAAAATGATTGTGCTTTAACCTCTGACTTCTACAGTCAGAATCAGGGGAAGTCCTTTTTATAAGGCTTATCGGGGCTGATCCTCTTGACATTTTAAACTTCTCTGAAAGAACAGCACAATGTCTTCTGGAAAGAGGAAAAGAAACCTTTATGTTAATTAGTTACTCTTTATGTAAAAGCCTCTGGATAGAAACACAATAGTTCTGGCTTGATCTGCTGTATTTGGTAGACTTTTTTCATTTTTATTTGAAAGTACAATAAGAAAAAGCCATACTTAAATAAATCAGGTGTGGGAGAATATTTTAAATTAGACTTTTTTCCTCGTTTACTAGTTTTGAAATGCTTTATGAAACATACCTATTACACAGCTTATAGTCCACATTTATTTTTTGAAAGTCTCAAAACTAGCAGTGAAGCTTAAATAAAATTACATTGCTGTAATAAAAGATTGACCTATTTTTTAAAAAATAAGAATGTTTTCATAGGAAAATTGCTGGTCTATATTATTTAACTATATTGCTTAGCTATGGTAATGAATTATTTAAAGGAAACAGTGAAGTTAAAAC